TTTTACACTTTCAGATCGAATTAATTGTACATTCGTCGAATCTTCAATTTTTTTTATCTTACACGTTTTGCAATAACAAAAAAATTAACATTAGATTGTGAACGATGAACTACTTTCTGAGCACATAATAAAATCTATTTTTTTAATCTTAAAACTGTATCGGCGATTGAAAAAATGCAATGAAATAAATATTCTGTTCCACATTCGCTTCACTTTATAACCGTTTTTGTTCCAAACAAAATTCAATTTTTATTTGCAAACTACAAATCGCGCGACAACAAAAAATGCGACTAAATGAATCAAATGCTTGTGAGAGACTGAACTGAGCGATGGAAAATGAGTTGTTCGTCGAAATTTGTTCGTGCTTTTTCATTGGTTTATTACGACACGCTTTCCCCTTCTTCATACATGCGAAACATCGACGAATAAAAAAAGCGGAGAAACACTGGCGTTCGTTTATCATTTCCGCTTTAAAGGATATCGTCGTTCGCTTATGTGTGGCATGTGAGAAGGAGAAATTTAGGCAAGAAATCGGCGATCACAATTCGCGACGCGCTTGTGTAAGTGTGTGACGTCGCGCTATTATGCACGTATAAAGGATTTTCTCCTCAAATATCGATGCTAACCGAAGAACTGTATTGTATCGTGTGTTTTTGTGAAGAGAAAACAATTGCGTGCCGTATTTATGTGTGCGTGCTATATGTTTGCGGCGAAACAAACGACGATGCATAAGACGGCATGAAGAGCAATTGTTCTATTTCTCTTCCTTGATTAACGTCTGTGTGAAACGGGGGGAACTTTTTAATGTGATGCGAACCGTTTGCCGTGTATGCATTTATAATGTATGCGTGCTTTAAGTTCACTGCAAAACGAAAGTTGAAAAATATGCAAAACACAAGTGAAATGTGGCTTTTTTTATGTTTGACTGAATGTTTGAAAGAAATTGAATTGTTATTTTTTTGGATGGAAAACACAATTGATTTTCTTCGATCAAAAACTGCAAACAATTTACTTTTCTATTCTCAACTCAAAAGAAATATGTTCTTGTTCAAATGCAAATTTGTTTTACTACCTTCAAATCAAAATTACATGTTTGTTAAATGAAAAAAGAGGAAAAACACACATCGTCAAATTAAATAGTTTGATTTATCAAAGAGAGAATGATCAATAAAATGCGATACACGTGCACATGCTAGAAAAGATTGCTCAATTTTTTTTTATCGAAGTGAAAAAAGCATGAAGAAGCAGCAAATCAAGCGTTCACACCATAGACAACCTACGTCAATATCTAAACGTAATACATGGCTATTATTATTACATCCGTGTTGCCTTTCAACGTAGGTAACCTTATAATAATTAATGACACACCACAATATATTGTGCGTTCCCATAAAATGTGGTTATTTTCACAAAAAAATACATAGCGTATGCTTTCATGAGCTCGCTCTCTTCATGTGTCTATCGGTTTATTTTGTGGCCCCCCATGCATCGCAAATGGCAGCACGGCTTCGGTTTAATAATACTCGTCTGTTGTTGCTATTAGAAACTAAAATCTTCACATTGAACGAGCTAGAGATAGGCAAAAAATAAACTTTAACTTTTCACTCATAATTCGGTCATATCGTGTATGACGCACGGCCATAGACTTTATAATTCAATAAATAAATGCGTTTTAATATGAAGTTATTCATTTGAAATAACTAATTTTAATTATAAAAAAACGAATTTGTTGGCGAAAAAAAGCACACCTTTATCAAATAATTTCTTTTTTTCTTAATTATAAATACTATTCCATAGTTTGACTGAATGCTAGGCTCAAGTTGAGAAAAACGCGATGTAGTTGTATGTTAGACAGTTTTTATTCGTGCTTTCTCATTGGTCAATTGATGTACGTTTCTCCTTCTTCATGCGAACGACGAAATAGCAACGAATTAAGAAATGAGAAAAGCTGTATAGAAGAGAAGAGAAAAATACAAACGACAAGCGAAAATTGATCACGATACGCGACGCGCTTGTGTTAGTGTGTGGCGCCGTGCTTTCGTATGAAGGATTTTCCCCTTAAACTGCACATAGCTATGTTAAGCGTATTGCATGCCGTTGTGAGGAGAGAAATATTAAGATTCAAAGGAGGCTCAGGCTTACCAGAGTTAGATTTATGTATGTGTGCTAGCTATATTTTTGCACGAAACAATCGATGAGAAGATGTGAGACGATGTGGCGAAAATGATTCTATCTCTTTTATTCACTCGCTTAACGTTGTTTGAGTGTTGTGTTTTTAATATGGTGCGAATTAAGCGTCTGTAAATTTATAGCTATTATTCAATGCGCTTTTGATGCACAAATACATGTGAACTCTTGAATAATCGTTTACGATGTCGTAGTCGACGTTCAGAAAAGTTTTCTATGTTTGTAATCGTGTGTTCGTTCAAAAAATAAAAAAGTTGAAAGTGGAATGTCAATTCTGTTTTGATTTGATGATTTGCTGCTCTTATTCAATCTTTGTATTTTTTTTATATTTTGAGAGAAAATGTGTTTGTGTATGGGTCTATTCTTCAGACTGTGACATCATATTGACTTGTTCACTCACTGATCTTGCTGAGCAACTTAAATAACAAAAAAAGCAAATTAATTCAATTAATTTCACAGATTTTGTTTTTATACTAATATGTATCACTTCACAGTACTTCATATCGCTCTAATTCAAGTAGTAAGTCTGTTGAAAATTGGCCTGAAATTAGAGAATATGTCAAGTACTTACGATAACTTATTGCGTTAAAATACAAGGCATTTACATTGAATGAATTTACATTGAATAAATTGATTTGTGAAATGCCGAGTCAATTTTAAACGGGTTAGAAGTTCAAGCGAGTCAAATTAGCGGCGAATATTGATTTCAGAACCAAAAGTCATATCTTTTCACAAGAGAGAAAGAGATGGTTCTTGACACATTTTAATTTTTGTTCGTCGACTCATTTCATCAGTCAGTCAAAACACATAATTCAAATTATTTGTGCCTATAATTTTAAAAATAGAATGGCATGAAACCAAAGAAGACAACGAAAAATATAAGTAAACGATGAAGCAATGAAAATTCTGCGTTAGCACTTTTACACATGAAATGTAGTTGTGTAATTGAAATACGTATGCATAAAATTACTTATTTTCGATAACGTACATTCAGTTGAAATATAATATCACACAAAATTCATATTTCATTTTATGGAATAATAAAAATGAATGTAAATATTTATTTGATACGAGCAACTTGAGTGGCGGACAGAGTCTGACTGGCGATTGCATTCGGTTTACAAAACCATTCGTGATAATTAGTTGTTTTTTTTTACCATATGAAACAATGTTATGACAGACATTTCAATTCAAGCACAGCGGCCAAAATTATCGGAGCTCATTTAGTTGTTGATTTAGAGATTTATGGTGAGACCATTGGGATATTATGAGACTTCAATGGTCCCAAAATGAATCGATCATCTATTAATTTTCATTAAGTACAATTTCAATGGACAATGGCACTTATTGTTTCAATTGATTGTGTGAAGAATATGTGCCGACGGAACAATCGGATGAATAACCAACTCACAAAGACTTCGGAAAGAAATCAATAAAAGCAAATGTCAATCGGGTTCCATATACATTATACGTATAACGAGTGTTCCTGGAGTTTAAGTAAAAATGCAAAATTACTGACTGACTAGTCAGCTAACTAATTTGGGACGTTTTTGGCTTAAGCCAACTGAGATTAAAATCATTTAAAGTTGATTTGCTTGATTTGTCAGTCGATTGCAGTAGAGAAAAGTATAACTCAAATCAACTTCAAACGTGCCAAATTAGTTTGAAACTTGGTTTAAAATCTGAAAAATAGAAGACCAAAAAAGTCGACTGGGTAGACGGTTTTGGTTTGAAAAAAAATTATTTTCAGTTGTTTGCAGCTAGTAACTTTTTTCCACACTATTCACTTTTTCATGCATTGAAAAATGGTCACTACACAGAGAAAATTACACTTTACGTTTTAAATTCGTCTCCTTTAATCGAAAAAATCATTACCTTTGAATTGAACTCAATTATATGACATTGCAACTCAGCGAAATGCATTGGACAAATGACACATTCAAATGAAAATATAGAAATACTAGTTAAATCACGTAGAAAAAATGCGCTTCCGACAACGAAATGTCTGGTTCGCCTTCATATAGGCAAATCCATAAGAAAGACAACTCAATATAACTTTTGGCAGAAAGCATACCAGTTTCTTACCAAAAGAGATACTCACCTCTGTATGAAGGCAACCGGTTTTTACCTAACAGGTAAGCTTAAGTTTACATTGCTTCAGTTCTTCTGTACTCTGAACGCTTTGGACAAATATTGTCACCACACAGCATCAGCATTATACATGGCTTTGCACATTCTTGTTAAACAATACGCTATAAAGATACTCAAGCACCATCACTAATTGAATGGAGTTCATTTTATTAATTTCGAATCTGTGCATTCGGCTTGGTTAAAATTCAGATCAATTATTTTGCTCTAGATAAAATCTGAATCGAGCACACTTAAAATTGTCCATGACGAAATCTGGTGAATGATATTAAAACGCCAGGTAAACAATTGATTATGATGCTCGAAATTACTGGAATGCAGAAATGTCATTGATCTCTTTAATAAGATTAAAACCATGACGCACGACCAGATCGTGACAATAAGAAACCAATATGTAATTTACTGAAGACTTTAAGCATTCATTTTGGAATTTACTTTACTTCTTTTTTTTATATAAAATTAAGAATATTTCAATGAAGAACCTACCCATATCGTTAAAATTAATACTTAACCCACGCTGAAAGATAAAATTGATCATATAAAATAAGAAATTTCTTGGACAATGAATTTTACTTTATCGGCCGATCTGCAATTTCAATTCAAATTTATCAAAGAGGTATCTCAAGCCTAATGGGTTCAAATGGACAGAAAAAAACACATTTTATTTGGTTTTCGTCGCGTTAACTGACCTCATATTGAGGTATGTTTTTTTTTTATTTGATTTATTATTCATTACATTGACGATAAATCTAAAAGTGAGATAGATAATATCTACGGGGTTTTACTATAACTATACAATTATACATTGCATTTAAAAGTAAGTTTTAGAGTTTTTTTTTTCTTCATTTTCTTCGTTTACCTCATATATTTTCATCAGGTGTGCCCACCTGACACGTATACATTACAATTATCGATAAAATTTGTCTGAAGTTCAATGCCAAAAACACTTAAATTAATGTTATATGGTGTAACGTTAAAAAAAAGTCAATTCTATCGGTCAATTAATCACAATATTTGCAGTATTTAGGCAACTTTACGAGGTGCTACAAAAAAAAAAGAGTTCCTTTCCAAAAAGAAAATCTGGCGCAGCAAATTTTCATTGATCGAAAAAGACGGTCGTTAGAGAGAAAAAACAACATATGAAGAGTTGTTGTATGCATAAACATGTTTGTCTCGTTGTATTTTTGTTGTTAGTGAGCATTCTATTGAGCAATAAATAAATTATTCGACTTTTCTTTCGTAAATATATACACATTACATATATTCCGAATAAATTCTTATTCCTGAATTTCAAAAGGATCGATTGCATTTGCATTTGAAATCCCTTTTTTCAATTAATTTTCTTTAAACATTATACAATTTACAAATGTTTGCCTATCTGTTAAGTGAATCGAAATATCGCCTACTTAAAGTGCTAAATTTAATCGAGAGGGCAATTTTGTCGCAATTGAATTTCATTATCGTTAAGCTTCACACACAAAGAACGTTTCAAAACTACAAGGTGAATCGTTCCATTTTAAACCTTTACCATCACGATTCCACAATTCTAAACAATTCTCCTCTTCGCCATTTTCATATCGGAAATTATTTGGTTCGCCTGCATTCCAATTTGTGAAGGTGATTGGCTTACCCGTAGCCATCCAAAAGAAATTTCCCTCTTCGGCTAAATCGGTGCCCGATGTCCAAAAGTGCTCGTTTCCAAAACCTATTTCACGATTAATTAATAAAATAAAATCAAATCGAGATTGTAAAATTACATTGGACCAAATCGAATGTTGTTTTGTTATTTAAATTTTTTTGTGTTGTTCAAAATCAATTTACCAAAATCTCTGATATGTTTTTCAAGTCGATCATTTTCCTCTTGCGATGAAATGCTAGCCAAATGCATACCATGGAAACGACAATATTGTGAGGCTTTAAACCAATTTGCCTGAAATTAAAATTCCATTGTAAATAAATAAATTTCAATATTATTTCATTTAATTGTCGATTGATGATGAGAATGTCTCAGTTGGCGTCAACATATCCAATATTGTCACATTTGTCATCATTTTGTTCGACAACTCAATTTACATAAGACTAGAAAACAGACAAAAAAACACACACACACACAACATATTTGAATACAACGGATCATATTGATGATTTTTCAATTTGCAAATAGCCGATTAAAATATTTGTTGTCTGTCTGTCTAAATTGAGGGGAATATCGAATGCTTAAACGCTAAATCACTCTAAAACGATATTCAAATGATCTGTCTTCGAAATACAATAGAATTATTTATGGGTTTACCTTGAAAAATGTGCCGATGTAATATTTTTTATCGCCAATTTTATGTAATGGCATTGTCCATCGGTTTGCCAACGGTGTATCATCGATGCAATTCACACAATCTGCAAAAAGGAAACATATACGGAAAATGCGATTAAAATTATAGACTATTTTCAATTGATGTGGAAAAGCCATGTTTAATGGTTAATTTGAAATGTACTGTTAACGAAAGAAAGTGATGAAGAAATAATGAAAAATCCGAGCAATTCCATGCCAATAGCCATTAAACACGAGATATAGTTAAATTTCATGTATTTATAGAGACGTATGCGTGCCACAGGCACAAGCGGTGAATTTATATTGCAACAATTGCGACCAGTGTGCGGTAGTACATTGCAATCAGTGTCAGCTTTTACTTTTTTCTTAAAATTTGTTAGTTTTTAATTTCGTTCATGTAAATTTGCACCGCTGTTATTTCAAAGTAGAAAACATCCAAGTGGAAATAATCAATTTACATTTCTCGCACTTACTTTAAATGGTCTAATACATTTATCGATTCAGTTTAAACATTCAGATTATTATCAAATTCATCTGAATACGCGAAATATAGCCTAACATGTTATGGCCATTAATGATCGCAATCATAAAAATCTAAAGTTTATGAGCGCATGGAAAGTTTCGTTTGCAAACCCAAAGAAGCCGACGTTGTTATTTATGGAAATCGTATGGATATCTTATCAACGGATGCAAAGACATGCAGACGGTCGAATCCGTTGGATTTTATCTACCTGAGTGTAATTGCACATATCATCGTCGTTGAATATGCGTGAGTGTATGCTCATTTTTTGATATTATGTAAGTTAAACAATGAGAAAGTTTTTTTTTCGACGCACACGCACGCATTGATTAAAGTAAATCCAAGTTCAAAAATGAAGCGCCCATAAAACGGCATTAAATTTAAATGGAATGCAAGTTGCCACCTTCCATTTGATGACATCCATGCTCCGTTGCAGTTGTACCCACTGGCGCTGAAGTGTGCAAAACAATCCATTCGATTCTAATTTGGAGATATCTTGAGTCGCCGGTGCTGAATTTTGTAAGAGAGGGAATTAAATAAAAGAAAAGAAATGTGCGAAAGAGATGGCCCACAGATACTAATGGACATGCAAGGCAACAACTGAAAGGCGAACAAAACGATCGCGTGTTGATTGCTTTTCTGCGTTAGGTCATCATTGTCATTAAAATGTATTGAACGACAGTGAATGAGCTACAAACTCGATTTCATCTAGTCTTGACAAGTAAGACGAAAAATGATCATTATTGATGGACATTTGCCTTGTCATTACATTCGACCCAAGAAATGGACTTGTGTTTATCACAACAAAACAGTTGTGACGCAATTACTGGTTTTTTTTTCTACTTCTCCGCAATCAATCAAAGATTCTATTCATTACCATATCCCGTGCCATCAAATTGGGTCATGCGTATTCCGAAATCATTGCGACTGATGTACATGTATGTAGAGTTGTTGGACATCGTGCGAATTAATCGAATTGCATTGCGTTTTCATTTGCCAACTCATAAACAATTACGTGTGTATGTTCAGTGATTATGTTTACAAATATGCGATCGAATAATCACCGTCCGTCGATAATTTGTAATATTTCAGGTGATTTACAGGTAACAAGAGAGCGAAGAGAAAAAAATAAATACTGATTTCGTTTGCAATGCAAACTTTGCATCATCATTTGAAAGAATTTAAACGGTCTATGATCGCAAATCTTTCTGTCTGACGCACATAATTTTAAATCGCTTTGAATTATATGTTCAATCGAAATATAGATAAACATTCCATCATAGCAATCATTCTACATCCGAATATGCAATGTTTACATCGATTTACATCGTGCATATTTTCGATGCTCGAAATGAAATTGAACGTATTTTGTAATTGCCTATAATCAGAAGCAAAGCAGCAGCCGCATGAAGAAGTTGAAAGAAACCGAGAGTCAGCCAGGAGCGAAAAAAATGCAAATAGACTCAATGATGCTGTGAATGCAACGCAGAAAAGTAAAAAAAAGAGAGAATCCACGGCGCATAACGGTTGCATCAATAAATTTGTATGCTGTTTTGCTGCTTTTTTCCTTGCCTTTGGAGTTTTCTTAATGAAGTACGACCGCAATTCATGATTTACCTGCTCTATGTTATTATTTTTTATGTCGCTGTTCAACTGAATACAGCATTTTTTTGTTGTTGTTTTAGTTTCATCAATTTTTCGCCGATGTGTATTAAATGAAAATTTTATGAAATGAAATGGAAAGAACGAGAAAAGAGAAGTAGTGCACATACAAAAAAAAAAAACTAGAAGCAATGCGAAGCGGAATCTGCCGCATGGGCATTATGCAATGCACTACAACGGAATATGCACGAAAATTTCGTAGAAAAAAGTGAAAGTATTACAAAAAAAACAGAGATAAATTCGACACCGAAGTAGGAGAGAAGCTCAATCTGAATGTAATTTGAAGAAATAGGCATTTTTTGTTGTTTTACAAATGTTAACGCCGCTAAGTTAATTTGCTTATTCGATGGACAAACACAGCTCACTGGCTAATCAGGTGTTAAATTTCTAATGGCATTCGCTGCGCTGACATTTTGCGAAATTGCTTTACACTGCGTTTACATGCACATCAATTGCATTTGATAATGTTAATGTTTTTCTTTTACTTCACACAATCTCGTTGTATCTTCGTTTTGCATTTGGCACCGTTTTTATTTCAACATACTCAAGCATTTATTTTTAGCCTAACGGCAAAAGGCATAAATGACAACCAAAGAAATGAATGAAAATTAAATTAAAGCCATGATGATGTTGTGATTTATTAGTGCCATTGATTCATTGGTTAATATGCAACACCTGTGTTTTTTTTGTCGGCAGAAAGCAAATATAATTAAATTAAATCAAATGAATGGAAAAAAATATATGATCGAATTGAAATGACTAAATTCACACGCTGCATTGGATACGATCGTTCAGATGTCTTCGATAAAATCTTCCGCTGAATTAACAACAGCCTCAGTTTTTGTTGGCTTCAAGCACTTTTGAAATTCCTTTTAAAACTTGATCCTTTTGAAATCGAACAAAAGTGAATAACAACTTTAAATTAATTTGTTTAATGTGAATGTTTCGTAGAAAACTCACTTTTCAATCAATTGGATCAATTTTAATTGCATAGAATTTCAAAGTCATATGTACATGTTTTCTACTTCTTCTTCTTCTCTTGAGTGTGACTAATTAAAAAAAAATGGTTACCTAACAAAGCTTGCTTTGACAAATACATATTCTATGTCCAATTTGATTTTGAAATGTATTTTTTTTTTGTAAAAATCGATTGGTACGCGCCAAGACTGTTCTTGTCACGTTTTTCGGGCAAATATGGATTAAACAGTGTGGTTTTCAAACCAAAACATCAAATGGTAAATGAAATCATGTTTGCACTTTATTGAATTTGTGTGTTGAAAACTTGCTTTTGTATTAACAAATTGAGGGTCGCTGTGTTGACATTTTAAGATGGTTAAAAAAATGCGCCCCTGATTCTAAGCGACCAAAACTGAAAAAAATCGCTTGCGATTGGTGTTCAACACAAATGGTTTTGGAATGACTGAACGGTAATCATCAATGATAATTGAAAAAAGTCATAAATTTAATAATAGTATCAATAAATTAATGATCAAAATTGTAAAATCGTTTGAAAAATCAATATTTCATTGATATTTGTCAATGTTGCCGGTCACTTGTTTGATTCGTGCATTGCATAGAACAAAATTCCATTGAGAATTTCAACCTTTAACGTTGAACGTACGAAATGATTTTCAATGCACATTTTCAACAAATGAAGCAAAAAGTAAGCAAACGAAAACTCAATTTATTTATGATCGTTTTCATTTATTCTCTCGGCCCAAATCTTCAAGTGCACATTTTACGTTGCGTTGTGATATGTGGCGTATGCGAACAACATCAAGCCGTCACTTTGTTACAATTTATGTCCATTTCATATTGATCATTGTATTGGCTCTATATGCAGTCAATTCAAGACATTGAGATTATAATAATTTTAGATCTAACATTTAGTTTTGTTCGTTAAAATTCTTTTTTTTCTCTCTTCTTCTAATGATCGTATCGGTTGGGCGATGCGAAATATGGTAGCCATTCATTTTGCATTTAATTGGATGCTGCTGATGTGTGTGCAGCACAAATGCTGAAAATGTCCAAAAAGACCTTGCTAAATCACATTGTACTGAAGTGATTAAAATGAGAGGAACAAAAATCAACAATAAAAATCTACACCAACCAGCTACGAACGACAAGTTGGAATACAAAAACAAATACCACTTATAAATGGACACACGGTGGCTTCTCAATCGCTGTTGTCATCGTTTTAGTCGTTTTGGCTTATGATATCTATTCAGTGTGTGTGTGTGTGTGTGTGTGTGTGACGTATACTCTGTTGTTATTATTATGGCGTCTGTTTTAGAAAGGTTCACTTAAAAACTTATCACACATTCATGAATTTGATGACATACGAGAAATGCTGAAAGCTGCTCGAGATTTGCATCGATGAAAAAAGTAGACAACAACAACGTTGTTTTTTTTTGTCGCCCAAAATGTTTGTGAACGATTGACGACGCGCGTTCAATATACCGTGGAAAAGCGAAAGTGATTGAATGAGAATAGAGCGCGGGAAATCACCATTATTATTCATATGCTAAATATTTCGATGTGATCAGTACCGTATTTTCGCTTCGAAATGCGACTCGAAAACGAGAGAAAGAAAGCGTTGTTGTTTATCACTTGATAAAACCATGTCAAGCCGCAATCGGTATTATTTATCGAATCAGAAAAAAAACATCAATTTTATGATTTCAAGTTGCGGCGAACAATTCCCATAGCCCAGATGAAAACATTTTTGTTTATCGCTTTGTAATAATAAAATTAGTCACACTCTCAGCGAGTGTCAGTTTTTTCGCTTGGATCAGCGCAATTCATGTTGGCAAGCAACTCGTTCATGTGAAATTTATTGTTTATGTTTAAGTTTCGTATTGCTCAGGAAAGACGATCGTAAAG